TATTAAATTTATTTAATACAGATTTCAAATAATTCGTCTGATCCAGAGTAATTGTATCTCTGTTTCTCTGTACTCTTATTCCCAAGAAAAGCCTTACTTCATTTAAATCTTTCATATGGAAATTACTCATTAAATATGATTTAAATTTTGACATTGTAGTCATATCTTTTGTTGAGATTATTAAATCATCGACATAAAGTATAACATATAAATTTTTATTAATATTACCTCTGGAAGTTGCATAAATATTTCTTCCTTTAGGACGCCATTTAAAAATGCAGTTTTTACGTCCATTTGATGGGCTAATAAATCATACTGATTTGAAAATGTCAATAGAAATCTAAAGGTAGATATTCGTGCACCTGGCGCAAAGGTTTCATTATAATCACTTAAATATTGTTGACTAAATCCCTTTGCTACCAGTCTTGCCTTATATCTTACTGGATTACCATGTTCATCGATTTTTGTAGTAAATACCCACTTGCAACCTACTATGTTTTTATTTGTGGGTTTATCGACTATTGACCATGTTTTATTTAAAAGGAGGGAGTCAATTTCATCCTTTATAGCTAGCTCCCACTGATCTCGGTCATCCCTTGCCTTTATTTCATCAAATGAATTTGGTATTGCATTGGAAAGGGACTTTGCATAGAGCAAATGACTGTATATGTCATTGTTAATATTATCATCGAGATCTTCTTTATAAGTGGGAGTAGGATGATTTTTAACTCTTTCACTCCTCCTTAAATTTACGTTATTTTCGGGAAAATGTGAGACGCTTTTAGACGATTCGCCTTGTTCAAAATGAACATCTGAACATTCAGAATTTTTATGGTTCGTATTGGGCAATAAGGTATTCTCAACTATTGTTGGCCTTGTAATTTTAAAATTGGTCTCGTCAATGATTACATCGCGAGCCGTCAGAAAACTTTTCGTATTAACATTCCACACTTTGTACCCATTAGGATTATACCCCACAAAAATGCCTTTAAAAGATTTGTCATCAAATTTAGTTTTTCTCGTTTTATTATGTATGTAAACGGTAGATCCAAATACTTTTAGCAATTCTAATTGTGGCTTTTTATTATGCCACATTTCGTATGGCGTCTTATTTATTTGCAGAGCAGAAGTTGACAAGATATTAATTAAATAAGTGGCTGTAAGTACAGCTTCACCCCAAAAAGATTTATCTAAGCCAGAGGTAATTATCATCGTACGTGCTTTTTCAGTAAGTGTACGGTTCATTCGTTCTGCAACACCATTTTGTTGTGGAGTGTGTGGAACTGTTAAATGAAAAGTAATGCCCTTTTGAACACAAAATTCTTTAAATTCATTGGACAAATATTCACCCCCATTATCGTAATACAGGTACACTACCTTACAGTTAAAATGAGCTTCGCCTTTAGCAATAAAATCTTTAAAGACGGAAAGAACCTCTGATTTATATTTTATCAGGTAAGTAACTGTGTAGTGAGTAAATTCGTCAATAAAAGTGACAAAATAATTTTTATCATCGATAGTAATGGGTGATATGGGTCCACAAACATCCGAATGAATTATAAACAAAGGTCGTTGAACATGATTTTGGATTTAGCTTTAGAGAAAGGCAATCTTGTTTGTTTACCATATATGCAAGCCTCACAGGTATGGTTTGCAGGACTAAGATTGTCAATGTGGTTAACATCTTCTACCATTTGATGTTGCTTTAATTTTAAAAATGATTGGCTACTGACATGACCTAAACGTTCATGCCAAAGTTGGTAGTGTTTATTGTTAATCACATTAATCTGTGGCTCAATCTTAGAACTGCAATTTCTTATTATTTTGAATGAAATTCCAGTTAGACCATTTAATGGCTTACCTGTTGCCAGAAGTTTGTTACCGTGTAGAATTTTATCCCCATCTTGGTCAAATACAACGGTCATACCACACGCTTGAATGCGGCGAACTGAAAGAATGTTGTAAACTGCATCGGGAATGTATAAAACATTCTCTAGTTTTCCCGGAACACCAAGATTGGATTCGACGTTGATGGTTCCTTTTTCAAAGGCAGTAACAGTGGTTTCATTCTTGGCCACTGCGAGTTGAATCGGCGTGTCTAGTCTCTGGATACTGGCAAACGGATCCCGGCTATTTACAATGTGATCAGTTGCACCCGAGTCTAACAAGAAGGTCAATGTTTTGTATGATTGTTGCTCTGAAATTTGTTTATGTCCAATCATAAAAGCGAAGCCATCAGAAGTATTATTTGATGATGTGATTCCGTGAACTGTTTGCAAAGTTCTCTGTTTTTCATCAGAATTCCTTTTGTAAAATCGGCAGTTTTTCTTGATATGGTTGCTTCTACCACAGTAGTCGCACTGAATATTGGTGGTTTTATACTGAGAAAAATGATGGCTCGCTTTGTTTTGATGTTGGTAGGATGGTTTCCTGAAATGCTTTTTCTTTTTAAATTGCATTTTACCTTTACCATCTGCCGCCGGTAAATGTGTTCCAACATTGAGCACTTTTAGACTGGTGGTCGTCCGATCATTTTTTAATTTAACCTCATGATCGAGCAGCCTGGTTTTGACAAAGGATAAGTTGAGATTATTCTCACTCAATGTTTCCAAAGCTGTGATAACTCCGTCATAGCATGACGGTAGAGTTAACAAAAGGTGTGAAACTTTGTCCATTTCATCAATTTTGGCTCCAGCGGCTATTAATTCGGTGACGATATCATCGAAGTTTGTGAAATGCTGTAACAAACTAATATCTCCGTGTAGTTTCAAAGTCAGAAGTCTCTTTCTTAATGCCAACTGTGAGGCCAAACTCTTTCGCTCATATATTTCATCTAACTTCTGAAATACCTCTCTCGCTGTAGTTGGTCCTTTAGCGAAACCCAAAAATGAGTCGCTCAAGTTATCAATGATCACACTTTTTGCAATGTTATTGTTTTTGAGCCACTCTTCACTACGATCACTGGGAATTTCACTGTCAACCACCTGGATAATGTTTAATTCCGTTAGCAATGATTTTACTCGAAACTTCCAAACACCGTACCGGTCACCATTAAAAGGTTGGATGTTTCTTTTGCTCGCGCCGCGATTTTCCATGTTTTCGAAAGTCTATTAATTGCGTTTATTCACCACTGAGTAACAATATTAGTGTTACGCGAAACTGGGGACCATAACCTATTAAATATTTCAGGTTATCAGTGGTTTAATTAAAACACGATAGATACGTTTTAAGGCACGATAATATATTTCAATGTTTCGTCTTAAAACATAACAGAACGACTAACTTAACTTTAGCTTTTATATTTCATCTTCACACCCTAAACCTTTTCGGGGTGTGGGAAAAATACATTTACAACGCAAAAAGTAATACCCAAGTACAATAAATAAATAAGGCAATAAATACCAACCTTTTGGGTTTATTGCTCTTTGTCAATTCTCAGGTCGATTCCTGGTAAGGTAGATTTGTTTTTGTATATTATATTATCCTTTCGGATACATATTTCAACAAACACTTGACACTATATCACTTCTTTAATGTTATAATGTGGGATTTGTATTGTCTACATTTGTTCTGCTACAATACAATCTGGCTACACTGCATCTACGAGTTGCGCGCGCATGTCATCTTTTATTACTTTCTAACTTGTATTTATTAAAATTAAGCTCTCTTTTTCTATTTATACGAGACAGGTCTATTAATGCCCAATTCATAATTTAGTTCATAATGGATAACCTTAAAAGTTCCCAACTTTTAACTTTTATGCCATAGAAAAGTGATTTATAAATTCTTAAATAGAACATTCACTGGATTCATCCCCGCCACTTTTTGTTTTAGTTCGTGACTACACCGCTGTGCGCCCATATCGCCGTTTCTTAACGTCCCCCTCATTCCTTATTCTAATCTCTGACTTCACCGATGAGTTAGGTATCTTTGTTTAGTGAATAGAAAATGACAATCACCGACATAGAATCGTCGTGTATATAAAAACCAGTCATAAAAACGCAGGTATCCATTTAACATCATAATGCAAATGTCATCTTGTCATCTGAATTAATTTGTTGAGTGCATTGTCAATGATTGTTTTGAATTCCAAGACTGTGAAAGAAATGATAAGTGCATCATCATAAGCAGCCGGTTTAAGAGTTGTTGCCACAGTGTGTGACCAGGCGGCAAAAAATGAATAGACCAAAAGCGAATTGCAACCACAAACCAGGGAAATCTACATCAAAAAGCAACACAGAAAGAGAAATTTTGGTTTTGTTGGAAATAAACAACCTAGAAATCGTATCACTGTATGATGCTCCATACATGCTCGAGGGAATTATAAATAACTTGATCAAATATAACAGCCTTTTAACTGGAAAAAAATGGACATTTTCAAAAAGCAGATTGAAAAGTGCTCCAGTCAGCTCACGAGTGAGATACGCCAGATCATCTATGAATAGATTATAAACTATTTTATTCTTTCAGTGATTCTCACATAAATATATGAAAATAAAATGTATAAAATTTTAGTTTATGAAGTTTTGAAGCACTGCCTTATTTTGAAATAATTGAAATGTCAAACCAGCCATTTAAAACCGAAATTCAAACGGCCCGCCAATTATTAGTTCAATGACTACACCGCTATGGCAGCACCGTCGGAAATATCACTTGGCGACTACAACAGGAGTGAGCGTTCTATATCAAGAATATAAATCACTTTTCTATGTTTTATGTATTAAATTATGAAAAAACTGGACCTTTCCAGTTCTGTCAGGGTCAAATTTCAAAATATCAATAGAATATTAATGACATTTCAAAAATTATTTATTAAATTATGAAGTTGTTTAAACTGGGGTTTTGAGTTATGTATTAAATTACGCATTAAATTATGAAAAAATTACGACTTAAATTTATCAAAAGTTGTTTAAATCCACCTTAAGTTGTTTAAACTCTCCTTAAGTTACATTAGATTATTTGTTGTTTATGCAATCACTTTAATTGTAAATATTTTTCAGGCTGAAGCAGAAACCTGGATCCAACAGTTCAATGATAAGTGCCAAGCAATTGAGCAGCACCAGCTCGAAATAGAGTAGTTTTTTTAATTCAATAATGATTAAGTTTAACATTTGTAGAAGTTATTTGGGGTACTCCCCAGGTCGTTTTTTTAACAGCATTTATTTATTTGTTTTTTTTTTTTTGTTGTTTTGCCATAATATGTATTTTGATTTTGTTTATTTCGATGTTTATTTATTTTTCCAATTTCATAATAAACTAGGTGTATAAATAATACCAATCGTTTTTATTTTTAATAAAAGTTTACAATAAAAAACTAAAACAAAATTCCCATGTTCTGATTTATCTACATACATAAATTTACAAAAACATATATCCAGTTGAAGATGAGTGGAGAAGATTTAAACAGTCAGTCACCAAGAAAAATCTTATCCTTTATTGAAGGATTCACAGGTTATATTCAAAATTAAAATAAATGCATATCTTATAACAATTTGAAAAAAATATATAGTACTTACAGTTACCTATAGTTACTTAACAAAAATACATACTAGGTGAATGATGAATATTCGAAAATCATCACAGAACAGAACACAAAAAACTCTAAAAAAAAATTGTAATCCCTATTGACTCAACCTTTCTACATTGTCAAGGAACTCAAAATTCTAGTTGCAGGTACAACTTTAACTATCTGCTTCACCAAGAAAACTATTAATAATTGTGGATTATTTTTCGTTAATGGTAACTCTAAGTAGACCCTCACCAGTGTGGTTGTTTGACATGAAACTTTCTAATTTGTATTCTTTGGTGTTTTCTTTATCATTTAAAATGGCTCTCACTGGTGTTCCTTGATCTAAAAATCATTAAAAAACAACTTGTATGAAAACTATAGAAGTATTTTTTTAAAAGGATTGACATACAATCTAATAATTACATTTCTCATATTTCTGTTTAAGTTCAGTCATTTCTGTGTTGATTTTTTTGAGATACTTCAAGGCAACATCAGAGGGTACTGTTTTTGAATAATACAAAGTATCCATCAATTTTTCAAGTTCCTCAAATAGGCGTGCATCGTTGTTAGCTTCTTCAGTACTGGAGCTAGGTTTATGAAATTTTTCAGATATGTCTGGATGCATATTTTTATGCAGAGTATTGAAACATCTGTTGTTTCTAGGTTTGAGGGACATCTTATGTTCCAACTGATCAGCCCTAAAATGTAAAAAAAAATTATTTACCTTTTTCAGTAAAGGTATTTTTAAATTGTTAAGTAAGAAACTAACTTAAAAACACAAGAACGTTGAATCTTGGACCTTAAATAAATGAAACAAAATAGGTACTATTGTTGTTTAGTGCAAGGCAAGGACTCTTAACAGCTATATAAATAGATAATAGGATTGATACACATGAAAAAATGAAGTACCTACTCCTATTACAAGCATTAGTAGTAGGTAAATTCTACTTAGAATATATTCTACGTAGTATTTACCTCAACAAGATGGATTCACTAATTTCCGGTAGTTTCGAAATGTAGTATCTACTTCGTTTTAAAGTAAATACTACAGAGAATCTACTAATACTTCATTTTTATTCTTACCACCCATTATAAAAGGAGTTTGTTTTATGGCCGTTTCCACCAACTATTTTAGGGGAGCCTTGACGATAAGTATTTCTTGAAATGATAGTCTTCCATGGAGAAATGTCAGTTTAAGGCATACTTATCGTTAGGGCTCCTCTAGAATAGTTGGTGGAAATGGCCATAAGCAGCATATATCAATATATCATACATTTGGTGTGAACGGTTCACGGTTTGTGAGCTAAATTAGAAGATCTTATAATGAGTTTCTACCAGTGAGTATGATGTAAATATTTTAGTGGAAATATTACTGCTTGCCGACATAATCACTGAACTACGACTTTTCGGTGATACTATTTTCTTGGAGTGGTACCTTGGGAGATAATATTTCACTCGCCATGAAAATATCAAAGCCATGTCTAATCCATTCTATAATGATTTATATACTGGCTTATAGAATATTTTGTTGGTTTCCCACGACCTGATATAGTTAACAATTATTCAGAAGAAAAAGTTCCCTAGATAGTTCAAATCAGGTGGATCTCAAAATTGATTTGGGCGGGATATTTTCCAATTTAAAACCTGAATGTATTTTTCACATGAATTTGGTATTTTTGGAATCTTGTCAATGGCAATCTAATGATGGATTCTGGTCCAGATAGCATCCATTCAATTCTGCTTAAAACCTGCGACTCCATTTTGGATAGACTACTTTGTCTCATCTTCAATGAGTCTCTCAAGCAGGTCGTCTTTTCTATATTTTGGAGGATTGTGCCTATTCACGCGTCTGGGTATAGAGCCGATATACAAAACCATCGGCCTATAAGCATAATCAGCGCTATACCCAAGGTTTTCAAAAGGCTGATCATCGTTCTTCTCAGGGTGAATCTGAAAGTGAGGCTTTTTTTTAACAGGGTATATATCTCTCCAAAATAAGTTGTTTGGCCAAAAATTATTTACATAAAAAATTTAAGATAGAGTTTTAAAGTTGCAGTTAGTAGGTTGAAAATGAAAAAAGGAGTTTTCCTACAGCCGTGCGGAAAAATCGATTTTTCGCACTGATATGCGTGCGGAAAATGAGTTTTCCCGCACGGTGCGGTAAAACTTTTTTTTTTCACATATCAGTGCGGAAAAAATTTTACCTCACTAATATGTCAAAAAAAAAAAAGAAAAATTTCACATTTTTTCGTCTGTAGGAAAAATATTGTACCTAACACTTGTTAGGTAAATAGCTATTTTGATTGATTTTTCTGATGAAATAATGGAACTGTAGCGATTAGCTATTATGGATTACTCATTATGCTGGGCAAGTAACGGCTTTTTTTCGAGAAAATGTAAACAAAATGTTTTATAGTTGGAAGCCTATTCTCGAAACTGGGTGTTCAAACGTTGAGGTTATGATTCCATTTACGTCGCTCATGCAACAAATAAAACAGAAATCGTCGATGTGGACTGTATTTTTATAGGTCAACTCTTTTAACTGAACTTTTACAATGTACTGATATTGATTACAAAAATATCTTAGTAACTTTTTAGCAAAAATGGTGAGTTTTATGGCAAAAACAAAGTTGTAAAGTAGCGGCGAAAAAGGGCTCTTCTTCTTGCTCGTTGATTCTGTCAGCTGGGTTCTGTGGGTCGGGCGTTAAAAAAAGACACAAAATGTGGCGGTGCCATACGGCACATAAAGCGCGATTTACACGATCGCGACATGCCGCCCACCTTGAAAGAGTAAAGTCTTTTAACTAAAACAGTTTTTAAAAATCACAAGAGTCAATTGGCAGTATACAAAGTTTTTGCAATGCACGAGTAACTTCTCCAGACTGCGTTCTTAGAGTGGCAGTTCTGACTGTCCCATCGCTGCCTTTGTGTAGCTGAATGATTCTTCCCATGCGCCAATAGAGTGGAGGTGAATTATCATCAATAATTACTACGAGACTTCCTTCTTTGACTTCATCTGACGAATTGGTTTGCCATTTGGTTCTTCTCTGCAAAGTTTGCAAATACTCTCTGCTCCATTTGTTCCAGAACATAGAAACTGCTTGCTGGAGTAATTCATACTGCTTCAATCGATTTGTAGGAGTTGACGAGAAGTCTGTTTGAGGAATGGTCGTGAGCGAATGACCGACCAAAAAATGACCGGGGGTTAGCGCAGAAAAATCAGACGGATCAGAGGATAAGGGAAGGAGGGGACGGGAATTCATGATTGCTTCTATTTGGGCAAAGATCGTCGCAAGATCTTCGTACGTTAGAGTCAGCTTGCCAACAATTCGTTTGAGATGAAATTTGACTCGCTTAACTGCGGCTTCCCAAAGTCCGCCTCGATGAGGGGAGTATGGTGGAATGTGTTTCCATTCAATGGAATTTTCAAGAAAAAAATCGATCGTCTCACGATCCTCGAGAACAATATCCAGAGATAAATATAAACGCTTTAATTCATTGCTAGTACCAACAAAGTTCTTTCCATTGTCACTGTACATACATTTACAAATGCCACGACGAGAGAAAAAGCGTTTCAATGCGTTCAGAAATGACTTTGTACTTTAGTCGCTGACAATAAATAAATAAATAAATAAATAAATAAAAGGCCCAGCAAAGTCGCAACCTGAAATAAGAAATGCTCGATTTTGAGTTACTCTGTCCATCGGAAGGTCAGACATTTTTCTAACAAGTGTCCTAGGATTAATCCTGAAACATGTTATGCATTTTCGCAAAATACTGCAAACTGTTGGCTTGCCATTGAGTACCCAAAATTTTTCGCGCAATATACCTAGCAAGGTTTGTGGTCCAGCATGTAACTGCTTGTGGTGCTCATCACGAATGATCTTCTTTGTTAAGGGATGCTTAGGCGCCAATATTACTGGGTGTTTAGAGTCAAAGTTCAAAGAAGAGTTAGACAAACGTCCTCCCACCCTCAACAAACCTTGATTATCTAAAAAAGGATTTAGGTTTTTGAGTCGAGAGTCTTTACTTAATAGTTTATGCTGTTGCAAAGATGATACTTCAGAATGAAAAGTTTGTTTTTGAGCTAGTCTCAATAATATTTTCGCAGAATTATCAAATTCTTCTGGAGAAAGATCTCCTACAGGTTTCGTTATCTTTTTACGACTCAGATTAATAAATCTTAGGCAAAGAGCTACAACACGACGCAATTTATACCAAGATGAGTATAGCCCAAAAATGTCAAAATCAGAAATAATACTGGAAAGAGAAACTTGTAGTGCATGTCTTTCAATGTTCGCATTTTCTATAAAACAATTGTTTGCTTTGGGCCAGCAGCTTTGATCCTTGGCAAGCCACTGAGGGCCATTCCACCAGAGCTCGAAATTTCCTAAATCAGCAGGATCAATACCTTTTGTTGCAACGTCGGCACAGTTATCTTCCGTCGGAACATAGCGCCATTCTGCGTTTTGTGTTAATGTCTGGATTTCGGAAACGCGATTCGCGACGAATATTTTCCATGTTCCAGGCGTAGATGCGAGCCAAGAAAGTACTATCTGGCTGTCAGACCACAAAACCACATGGTTTATATGAAATTTCACAGAATTTTTCACAGTGTTATACAGCTGTGCCAAAAGAAGGGCACCACATAATTCAAGGCGCGGAACCGATATCGTTTTCAAAGGCGCGACACGCGTTTTGGAGCATAATAAATTGACGCTCGTTGCTCCCTCTGAATCTACCGACTTTAAATAAATGCAAG